GCAAGATTCGGCATTCCAGGTAATTGCGGAAATCCCATACTTTGTAGCGCTAGCATCGCAGCCATGGGATCGTTAGGGTCAAACGGTGGAAACCCCGGCTGTGCAGTAGGAGGCATGCCTCGAAACCCGGCTTGTGGGTTCGGAGCAAATAGCTGAGCAGTCGGGGCGGGTCGTTGACTATCCCATCCGCCAGCCAACCTATCACCTCGTCCTCCACGCTTGCCTCGCATCGTCTTGAAAGGCCGATCATAGCTTCTATGATGCGAGTCGTGCTCGGCCCCGCCCTGAGCAACGTCGTTGAAACTTCGTTTTCTGCCGCCGAAACCCGGGGCGTTTCCTTGGAAGCCACCCCTGCCTGGAGATCCCGAAGAACCAGCTGGAGTTGTTATAAATTGTGCAGTCTGACTCGGCGACCCGGACTGGTTAAAAGGTACGGTCACGGCGGGCGTTGGCAATGCTGGAGGGGGTACGGATGCAGTTGGAGCGGATTCGGATTTCGGATTGTATCTCTCAAAAATTTCATCAACGAACTTGACAGTGTCTATGCGTATTGTCACATTAGAATTCCAATCCTTGTACTTATTGTCTTGCCATATCATAGCTAATTTCCCCGGAAAGGCGATAACATGCACTTACTTTCTTTCAGGAAATCTTCCAGATTCTCTACCGACACCTTGCGAATCTCCTCATCTGGCGCATCGGAGCGAATTAGAGCTAGCACGTAATCTGCAAGGACATCTGCATCGGCGTCGGAGCTGCTCCCCGTTGCGTTAGTAAATGTAAGTGCAGCCAGGCCTCTTTGCCAGAAGTCACCATTTAAGGTGAGCGGAGCATAGCAATAAGACAATCAAGCACTTACATGTCCTCTAGCCTCTTAATCACCCATGTCTTCACCTCTACCGCTTGCTCCTCTGTAAAATGCATTATTTGCTAGGCTCCGCTTACTGGCGCAAGTAGTTACCGGGGAAGCGATGGAGCTGCAGAGGTAGTAATACCGAGCCTTTTCTCCGGCAATGCCAATGTGAAGAAGTGGAGGCTATAACAAGATTCCACAGTGCCCAAGGATGCAGATGAGAATGAACTGGCGGAAACAGTGAAGGGTGTTCCCTGGTGGATGGTTCTTCGTGCGGCGAAGTGCACAAAAAAAATGGCAACTGAACTTGACATCAGACGGAACCAGCGCCAAGACTTAAGTACTGCTGAAATCAAATCCGCAGAGCCCTCGCAGCGCACGCTCAGGGGCCTGTGGAACAGATCACCATCGGGCATCACCTTTTTGGACTTATTATTTCATGAGACTGGATTTTACTGCCTCCATTGCCACCTTCATTTATATGTCTCTTTGTGATCCAACATTTGGCAACTACTAACTGGACGGGTAAAGATGCTATCACGACACACTTTTACGCCTGCTATCAGGGCACAGTTAGTTACGCCATTGTTAGTTATATTAAGCAATATTCTTGCGAACTTAACTAGCGCATCGCTTCCATCAACACAAAACAGCTTGATGGGAATTCCCTACGTGAGCTTGGCGAATACTTTGGACGCAAGAACGGCGTTGTGCATACATAGGCCTTGGTGAAATCGGCGGTTCTGCCACCCAGGCTCCCCGCTGGCGAGAGGGCTCTGGGCGCCTATTGCGGCGGGTCCCGCGCCTATCTATTAAGGGGCGACTTCAGCCTCCGATCGCTTGGCGCCTTTTGAATCCATCGAACATCGGGTAATGTTGTTACAGAGTACTCCGTAGCCTGCAGAAACTATTCTAACAACACAGTCACCAACACTCATGAGACACTTACAACGCATACGAAGCGTTGCCTCCCAGTTAACCCATCGTACTTGTGTACCGGCTACAAATACCAACGTTGCACGCTGGAACTCTACAACAAAACCCCCTTCCCTCCCCTCTCCTCCTTTGCCCCCAACCTCTCAGCACCATGATCTTCCCTCTTTCCTCGCATACGCCGCGCGAACCGGGCTCTCTTCCGCCAGCACAACTTATGTAGGCACTCACTACGAGTACACCGTCTTGCACTCACTTCGCGCCTACGCCATCGACCTCACTCGTATCGGCGGCCGCGCCGACTCCGGCATCGACCTCGTCGGCACCTGGCACTTGCCATCGCACCCCTATCCTCTCCGCGTCATTGTACAATGCAAAGCGTTCCGCAACAAACTAGGCCCCAATTTAATCCGGGAGCTGGAAGGGACGTTTGCAGGTGCGCCCGTCGGCTGGAGAGGAGAAGGGATAATAGGGGTGTTGGTCAGTCCACGGGAGGCGACGAAGGGGGTGAGAGACGCGTTGACAAAGAGCAGGTTCCCCCTGATGTGGATTCTGGCAGATTTGGAGGACGGTGCGGTTAGGCAGGTCTTATGGAATGGGCGAGCGAGCGAGGTGGCGTTGGAAGGATTGGGCGTACAAGTTAAACATCTGATGAGTTCCGGGGAGGTGAAGCAGAAGATTGTATTGACCTGGGATGGGGAGGAGGTAAAGGGACTTGATTCAAATGACGATGGCAAAAAGCCGTGAAGATTTTATCAAGTGCGGCATACTTTTTCTGTGGAAACACATTTTCAAGTCACTTAACTTTTTGACCACCGAAGTCCTTCACCAGCCCGGAAATAGGGAATGTTTCCCTTTTATTAATACCAGCCAGACCAATGGGGATCTTTTTGCTTGGGACCCATATTTCAAGCACCATTCGGTGGCGCCGATGTGGTAACCCGCGATTCGAACTGAGAAGAATCAGCTGTGTCGGATAAATCTCGTTCAAGGTTTACTAGCTCATATCTTGATATTCATCAAGCGAAGGGACCCTTTGCTGTCACAATTGAGCTGCTTCACGTTCACTCATTCCAGCCCGGGGTGGGCCACCCATTCTCGCCGCCGCCGTGCTCGGGCCATCCGTTTGGGATCTGGGCGTATGTTGGGAGGACATATCTCTTGTCACATCGTGCCGCGTTGCAATTCAGCTTGCAAATGCCAAATGTTATGCAATAGCATTCTCCTGCTGGCGGACAATAAACCGGCGGCATTCCCATGATTACTTGGGCTGTTAGCAACATTCACTATGAGGTGGAAGCATAAAGGCAGTGATCGCAAGACAAGCTGAACATGTGGGGAGCTGAGAGGAGCTGTGTGGAACATACTATGCCATGCGTACTCCATGATTCTGCCACTTATTTCATCTTCAAGATCCGTGTTCATGAGCCATCGCCGCATTCGCTCATAGTCTGATTTTCGTCGCCGTCTCACTCGCTCGCGAGTGACTGCGAATTGTGACGAGCATGTCGCACCGACTTCCTTTGGGACGGACTCATTCGGCAGCAAGGTTTTGAATGCAGATGCATAAGCGCGTTCCGCCGCTACACGTGTCGGAAGGCCTTTCTCGGTTGGATTCAGAGGGTGCAGCTCTGCTGGGCATCCAGGAACCCAGGTGCATCGTAGAGGCGCATACCCTACGCTTTTAACGTATGGAAGACGGAGGTTACGAAGGATCGGTACGCCATCTATGCTCTGATTCAGCTCACTGGCAAGAAATGAAATGGATTATTGATTAGGATTATTGAATAGATAGATACCATATATTGGATCGTCATTATGCCATTGATATCGCAGTCCATGTATAAAGACCATGTAGTCTGGAAGATGATTATAGTGGTCTATTATATATCTATATCTCCCATGCCTTCCAATCAGCAACAAAGCTATCCAAAAAAAAAAAAGGCGTGCTCACTCTCTGTGATTTTGAAAATCAAAGACTAAAACTTGAAAAATATCAGAGTCATTCTAAGAGCTCTCACGTTAAATACACCATAGATTCCCTCCCTTTATTCAGTGGCACAGTCAACTGGGCCTTTGGGTCATCCGCCACGTAAACTTTTGCCTGCCAATCTGGCAGATGCTCTCCTACCCATGATGTATTATCTGACTTCAAACTCGCCACAACAAGGTGCTTGAACAGCAGATCTGAAGAAGAAATGGATGGAGAAGTAGATGATATGAGGAATGATCGAAGGCAGTAGTACAACAGAATGGATGCGAAGAAGAGCGAGAGCAGACGAATTGGAGCACGAAAAGCTCGGTTGGCCATGACGTTGCAATGTAACTATTGATGGAGCCCTGCTGTTCCGAATCTGTTCAAAATGGTCCGCAGAAGAGCCGTCACATCGAGGTCACAGAGCTGCCGGCGGTGTTTTGGCTCTTTGCGGGCCAATATTTATCAGCCAGGAGAGGAGAGTTAGATGGATCACCCTGTTCTATGCAGTTGTGTGCAGATCTTCTTAAAACACCCAACCAAGCAATAACTGGTGAGTCTTGGCATAAGGAGATGTCGTGGCGGGCTGTCCAGATTGGATGCCTGGAAACAGCAATATAAATTGTCTACTCCGTACAGAGTCTGAAGTACTCAAAACATTTTTGTTGTTAGTAGCCAACTGGTCACCCCGTTCGTAAATACTAATTACTATAATAGAGAGTGTGGTCCTAGGATGTAATTCCATGAGTATAGTAGTTTTGTATACAGGATTCATCAGATCCCTCATTTCTCCGATAGATGCTGCGAAGGTACCCCTCACGCATCCTCCAAGGGCACTCACTTGTACCTTTCATGGAATATGGGGGATCTCGTAGAAGGTGCTGCTGTCAATGCTAAAAACCCTCAGGGAGAGGGATTGTCTTGAAGCCTGGTTCATTTCGAGAAAGTTACCTAGCGGGTAGCACATGGCAAACCACTAAATATACATTCAATATTGGATAGGGACCTTTTGGGCCACTTTCTTTACCTCTGCTGGAGGAAACCTTCTAAGCTTCCTTCCATGAGATATGGCCATTCTGCTGTTTAAGAGCTTGGAAGTGACCCGACGGCTAGCACTCCAGTCAGCCCTTCACTTCGCTGATAAAATCAATACTTTGGAACCACCAGCTCATTCATGTGATCCAACTGGCTTTGGAATTCGTTAACTGACTACCTTAGATAACTAGTTAGCCTATCATAATGACTAAGCAGAATAAGCCGGTCGCAACTTCGTTATCTTCGGAGCCGCCGCAAGGAGCTCGCAGCTCATCTGTACATGTGCAAAACCATAGAGCTCTCTGGGACCAAAACCCCCCTAATTATCCCTTGCAAATTGCTCATCACGGGGCTTTGCTGTCTGACGAAGTATTTAAATTTTGGCTCATGGCGGATATTCTCACCCAGCTTCAAACATGCCTTGACCAGGTCAGTCGCAACTCGAGAAAGGTGCAAGACAGAGGACCTTTCAGCTCACATATGATCTAGCTCGCAACCCAATTCTACGCCACGGTTGCCTACCTAACAACCTACCATGATCACTCACCCGCCATCCCACCCCCCAATGTTCCCAGCGCGGTCCCACAGCTCAAAAAGATCCCTAAAAACCCTCCCCCCGCCGCTCCCACATCTGGCACTGCAACCAATACTCCCGGCGCCGCCGGTGGGCCATCTGGCGACACTAAAGACGCTGCTGCCGGACCGTCTAATGCTCCTCAAATGCAGCAGCAACAGCAAGAACAACCGCCCGACGCCCCACCGCGCCCGGACTCACCGAATACATTCCTCATGCGCCAGCGCGAGCTGGCTCGTGATCTTATTATCAAAGAACAGCAGATTGAGTACTTGATTAGCGTTCTACCGGGGATTAAATCCAGCGAGGCGGAGCAGCAGGAGCGAATAAAGCAACTTGCGGAGGAGTTAAGAGTGGTTGAAGAAGAGCGGAGTGCAAGAAGGAGAGAGCTGCGGAGATTGGGAGAGAAAGTGGACGGGCTGTTGGGGGCGGTGAGTAGGGGGACAGGTATTTCGAATTCAGGCTAGGGTGATGTGAAGGTCGTACGACAAGATAGAACGATAATCCTAATGGTCGGCATTGGCGACCCAACAGCGGCGAAAGCTTTCACTCTTTTACCACATATGGCCGATTGTTGTGAGATTCGATATTGTCTAGCAATCTATGTCTGCTATGTCTACAAACCATGCTGATGCTGGTCACAGCCCCAATATGGCAAATACTAAGTCATAGAACCTGTTCACCTCAGCTCCTCAAAGCCTTCGCCAGAATGCTTGCAGAAGCAATAATAATATATGTTCAAAAAAGAAAAGAAAGAGAAGAGGCTAAAGAGAAGAGGCATGGTTTGTCATGGGTATCATAAAATCGTAAAAATAAAACCTGCCGCCAATTCCTTATAAATATGTCGCCCCTTCGCATCATCATAACGCCATCCATTCCAAGTCGTTAATATTGTCTCTGCCTTTATTGTCGTCAAAACGCCATGAATATCCAGTAGAGGCGTAAGGGCCATTTACCAGACGGCATCTTACTTGAATAAGCTCCGATATTCCTTCATCCTCTCCTCCATCATCTCCCGCTTATCCGATTTGCCTCGATTCAAACTCATATTAGCTAGCTTCTGTTTCTTCTTCGCCAGCTCCGCAATCTTTTCTTCAATGCTTTCTTTCATAATAAATTGCACCGTCGTAACTTCTCTTGTCTGGCCCAGACGATGAACGCGGTCTACTGCCTGCGCGACAGCAGCCGGGTTGTACTGGGGCTCCATGATGTACACCCTTGAGGCTGATGTGAGATTAAGACCAACGCCACCAGCCCCTAAAGTTGCAAGGAGAACTGTGATGTTTTCGTCATCCCGGAACTTATCAAGTGCAACATTCCGTTGTTTGAGCGCCATAGTACCATCGAGCCGAGTAAAGCCCCGGATCCCATTGTCCTGGAGCGCAATTTCAATGAGATCGAGATGTGAGGTCCACGATGAAAACACAACGCTTTTAATAGGTGGCTGATCCGGTTTGTGTTTGCTTTCTTCCACGGTGCCTAGGAGATGAGAAATCAAGGCCTTCGTCTTCGTATGAGGCCCTTCATACTGCCCCAACACCTTGACTTGTTTGCGATTCTGCTTTGCGGCGAGTTGTGTGGTTTGGTATTTCTCAAGCCCCGCAGGGGTTATGATAGCGTAGGCGGGTGCTATCAGGTTCTTGCAGAAGACACATCTAAGCTGTACGGGTTTTCCAACATTGTCATCGAAAACTGGTCTAAACCGAGCAAAACAATCTGCACAGAGAAGATCAAAGCACGGTAGCATACTAGCTGCCATACCGTTCTTGTCTCCGGGAGTCTCGTCACCCGATTGCAACGGGATGAAATTGCCGCACTTTACACAAATATCGGCGGACGATTCTTTCATCAGCGAAAGCATCTCGTACGCCTTTCTGTCAGCAGCATCCGTTGCATTATACTCTAATTCCTCTAAATCAATAGCGTCGCTCGCCGTCAGCCCTTTGAACCTGTCGCGATCCTCCTGATCGAGCAGCTCTTTGCCATGAGCGCTAATTTGTCGCAAGATCATCATGGCCTTCAAAACCAGATGGTACATGCTACCACTCATTTTCTCTCTAGTTTGGCCAGCGATGACGTTCATCATAACATTAGACTCCTTCCGGAAAAATTCGTGTAGCGCTTTTTCATGTTCAGAAAAGGTAAGCAGAACAGTATGATCATTGCGAGGAGGTAGATTGATACGGTCTTTTACCCGACGGAGTGTAAAAGAGTCAATAAACACCCTTAAATTGGTTATGGCGCTAGGGTTCTCGCATTTAAAAGGTGAGATGATATGTGCTGCAAATCGTCCCTTTTCATTGTACGGGTATAATCTCAGAAATTTGGTGACAGAACCTAAGTCTTCCAGCCGATTTTGAATAGGAGTTCCGGTGACGGACCACCGACGCTGAGCATTTAGGCTAAAGATTGCCTGGCTTTGAGCTCCGGATTGTTCCCGTATTGCATGAGCCTCATCCAATACTATTCGAAAGAAGTTCAATTGCGCGAGGGGACTTGCCCCCCTTTTGGAGCTTTTACGCGCGAGATCACTGAGTACTGTGCTGTAGGTGGTGATGACCAAGTCATATTTCGCCAATTCTGCGGGATCTTCAGTTCGCGAGGGTCCATGGAATACATAGTAAGAAATGGCCCCTTCTTGCAAATGTTCTTTGATCTGGCTCGTCCAATTGCTCACCGCGCTTAGTGGTGACACTAATAGAGTAGTTTTAGCATTGAGGGCCGGAAGGCTCGTGTGGAATATTTCGTCTTGGATTTCCCCTTTAGCCCACTGCGTGGCTTGTGGTAATGAGGAGCACACCAGAGATAAGATGCTTAGGGTTTTACCTAAGCCCATCATATCGGCTAGAAGTCCGCCCAGGACTTGCGGGGGCTGTTCCAAGGTCGTCACACCACTGATGATCTCGCGATACAGTCTCTGGCCGTTTGATTGGTATTGCACTCGCCACAGCGAATTGTTATCCTCTTCCTTTGGCCCAAGTTGTCGTGGCTTCTCCTTTTCTGACATATACCAAAGGGCTTGCTTCTGATGAGAGAGGAGCGATGTCTTAATCAAATCGGATGGTTCCATCTCTGGAAGATTTTGTGCGCTCCTCAGCTGGTCAAACATCCTGATAACAACACTATTCACTTCCTCGGCTGTGCGGGTCTCAGACTGAACTGAAAAACGATTTGGAGTAGCATTTGCAGCCATGGCCAAGCGTTTCTCAGTATGTGGGTTACAAACCGATATTCCAGCCTCCACCGTATTTGGCGTCCCTAGCCAGACGTTCTTTTGGCCAAGGAATCTTCCTGTGCTCTCTGACAAACGTCGCGGCCCGTATAAATTGATAGAAATACGAAAATTGCCAAAGGTCGACTGTCCAGGCCATTCGTCAGGCAACCTCTTTCGAACATCTAGGCGAGCTTGAGTGCGGAACTTAGCAACGCCATTGTCAAGTAATGGAGCCAGCGCCGCAGAGGTCTTGGGGTCCACTAAACCGAATGTTTTACCAGCTGCGTCTTTGACTTCAATTCTCATGTCTTGAGAACGTCTTCGAACCAATTCGCATCTGATAGATGGCCAATCGTGCGTCATGTCCTTGAATACAGTTTTCGGAGGTACCGGCACTTGATGCGCCTGAACTGTAGCGTGTTCAACCTTACCATAGCAGACCTCCTCTGCGCCCAGGTCACGATTTGCAACAAAAATCACATCATCGTCGTCATTATCTGATTATGAAACGGTTAGACGCCTTTGGTTAATGGAAAGAACTTGAAAACCTTACCTGAAGTGAGATCAATCGCCTTGGAAGCTGGAGGTGCCGTAGGCCCAGACTGCTCTGGAGTATTTTTCATATACTGTCCTAGATCTGTCGTGCCTTTTCCGGAATATTTATCATTCAGACTTGTCATACTCCTCCCATTCCCCTTTGCCACATCGACTCGGATCCTTTTGAGGGGCTGACTTTCCCGCCTTTCGACACCGTACATATCCTCGATCATTCGGGATTGGCCCCCCGCATGGACCTGATCAAATTCACGTTTCGTTTCGAGTCGGCCATTACCTTGTGGAGCTGACTGGCTGGATGCAGGTCTCGGAGGCGGTGGGTCGCATTTGACGTCATTGTTTGGAGTGCTGCGCGAAGAAGGCTCTGGGTTCAGAATACAGATAGATCAGCTGTCGGTTTCAAATGGATAAATTATAGACGAAGAGGCATGTTACCCGTTGCGGATTGCCTTTTAAAGCTCTTGGGATCGAGTAAAAGAGCCACCGAAGGGCCACTCATTCCGGCGAATTCCTGGCAACTATCCGAGGAGGAGAGGGAAGGACGGGAGAGTGCATAGGAGAGCGCACGATAGAGGAATAGAAAGAAAGCTGCAGCTGCGTAAAAGAAGGATTCAAGTACCTCAAAACTGAGGTAACAGTAGAGATGGGGGTGAGTGGAGCGTGATCTCGGCTGGATGCCTTTGACGCGATTGAACAAGGCGTGAGAGAATCTTCACCTGCGTGGCAATAATTAGTTTACTTAGTTAGTTAGCTTAAATAAGGTTGACCCAAGTTTTATGCTGACTAAGCAGGGCATTGTCGAACCTAACCTTATCATAAGTATCACATCTCTCGGAGTTGAGAGCAAGGAGCACGTAAAAAGCTGCTGCAGCCTACCTTGTTGCTTGTTTCTGGGTGGGAATTGCAGTTTCTCAAGATGAAAAAAACCTATCTACTATTGTTCTCAATGCAGTATGAGCAATATTGACATCATCAAAGCAAGCAATAACATCAAAAACAAACTGCGAAAGGGTGTAACAAGACTCGCCCGAAAACTCAATACATACAAGAAGTTCCAACCCAAATGCAGGCTAGACGATGTGAAAGGCTAGAAAATGCTGTCCTGTATCCTGACACACGAGTAACAAGTTCTAAAATTCAACCACGGGGATTGTCGCACAAGACAGAGGAAGTTGAACAAGGAAATACAGAGTGGCCTTTTGAACATGCTTCTAAAACCTCAAATACAACTCCACATGAGCCATGCCATTCAAACAGGATGAGAAGATCGAGTAAGCACCACCCAAAAGAATCAGAAGCAGAAAGTAGAAATTATTAGTCCAGCCATCAAAAATAATAAAAGTGATAGGAGTAATACAGGAGAGAAATAGTAGAAGTAAGTACTGTGGCTTCAGAACTCCGAAATATGGAATGACCAGAGATCAGCACCATGTAAAAACCGGATTTTTGCTTTTAACAGCCTCAAGCCGCTCCACAATGACTTTACGTTCGTGTCCCTCCATTTCTTCGGCGGCAGCATAGCCAAGATCCCCTTCAAGATCGTCCCCACCAAAGACAATGGTACTGTCCCGACGTGACATAGATGCTTGCTTTCTATGTGAAGGTCGCTTGCCATATCGCTTGGACTGACGTTCGGTCGGTCGAGGTGGAAGTGTGGCCCAGCTGCTTGCAAGCTCCCTGCCACTTTCACCAAGACGGTCTAGATTCCCGAAATCAGCCTGGCTGAACGAGATAGGACTAGTGGCCCGGTCCCTTGTCCTGCCTGATTCGAAAGAGGTGGTATCTCGTGAGAGCTCGAATCGGTTCGGGTTGGGCAATTCATTTGTTGGAGAGCCGAAGCTCAATAAATCACGATGCGGACCAGGCTCAGATGCCATGGCAGAACTGATATCCATCTCTTCTTGTGACTCGAGGTGATCAAGAGCATGTCGTCGCTGAGCCTCACCGGAAGGTACACGGAGAGGAATCGCGACGGGTATGTCCACAAGGTCATCCCAAACGCAGACTCTTGTCCTGCGAGTCAGCTCTAAGGGGCCGTGGTCTGCTTGCTTCAACGTCTCCACAACATTCCAGGCTTGGCCCTTCATAACAGCAATCTGTCTTGCAAACATGCTCTCTTTAAAATCGGAATCTTGGCTGAAGACACGCCGGAGCGCTGTCTGGGTTCCGCTCCACCATGCCGTCGATGTGAGCAGAGGTAGAAAGTGGTCCCGGGTCTTTGGTGAGAATGGTTGTCCAATAAGAGAAACCGGAAGGAAGAGCCACCCAAAAGGAAAACTTCGCCACTAGGAGAGATCAGTCACGAAGAACATAATTATTTCTATTGACACTTACAGCATCAGGGTGTTTCCATGGCCAAGACAAACTGTTATCGATGGCTCCAACCGATATCGAGGCGTTCAAAAGCTCTGGTGCATTGGACGGAGTCCCGGTCCTGCTTGTAGCTACCATGGTTTCATGTCGCCTATAAGGATACATAGGAGAGTTTGTTCGTTCAGAATTCGCGGATATCGGGCGTGGAGGCGGCATATGATCTTCATCATCAAGATGATTTATTCCATTTGCCTTCGGCGGATCCGACACAATGGAGACTTCTTCTGTGTGCCAATCCACCTTTATCATCCAGTTATCAAGCCCTCGGTCTGTGTTTCGCATAATATAGTCTAAAATAACCAACTTTTCAAGCTCTTCTCTAAATGACTGCTTCAAATTTTCCGTCCAATAAAACTTTCGAGGTCCATCGTCCTGCGGAGATGGACTGAGCATACGAGCGTCTTGATATTCATCTTCGTCATCCGACTGAATTCCGGATGGGCGACAAGCTTCATTCCAGGGCCTCTTCTTTCTCCGCGGTGCATCTTCGGCACGAAATCCACCGCTCGTCTGGTCTGGCCATGGGTGTTCACGCAAGAAGATATTGGCATCTTTATATCCCTTAAGGAAGACTTGGAAACTGCCCTGCTTGGCAGGTAGTGGTTTCTTTCCTCTCCATGCCCGTCTTCTATCCCAAAAGTCGTAATAGAAAGATTTGGAAGAGAGCCATACGATGTCGGTGTAGGGAACAAGGTGGGTTTTTAACCGGGTATCGAGCACATAGGCAGCGGCTTCAGACACATACGACAGGTTAGGAATAAGGCAGGCCCGGCCAAAAAAGCAAGGGAACAAGTTTCTATGTATCCACTTGGTCCATTTTGGATTCCGTGAGGCATACGGCTCCTCGTCTTTGGGTTTGAAGACGCCAACCACCTTCCCTTCACTATTTCGCGCGAAGTAGCTCCCGGAGCTTCCTTGCGAGATCATTTTCGGGTGTACTCCAAGCTCGATTGCCACCCGCACGCTCTCCACGATGTCATTAAATTCAGATTCGGCCATGCGTTTGGTCTCCGGAGGATCTGCTTCGAGGGATGCAGCAGTCACGGGGCGGACACCCTCGGGAGCTTGAAAAACGGTATGATGTATTTCTAGCTGTTCTTCCTCGTTTGTTTTACCTTTAACCCTATGAATCTTGAATTTCGACGCAATCTCCTCAGCCCATTTCTCCAGTCTCATATTTATCGCCTTTATGTCCACGCCAGATGAATCAGTCCTGCCCCGACGGCTTTTCCCGTAGTAGGGTCTTCTACTACGGTAACGGGAAGGAGATGACTGTCTGGAGGCCTGCATATGGCCGGTAGGGCGGATAGGGGCATATCGAGGGACGGACGAGGATAGGGTAGGGGGAACGGCGTAGGGATCCTCGTCAGACTCGTACTCGAATTCTCTGTCTTCGTCCGCCTGAGCGAGGCGGGCATAGCCTGACGTGGCAGGCCGATTCTTCGAAGGGGCCATCCTTCAAGGAAAAAAGAAAGAAACACACACACAAGAAAGGCAAGCAGATTACCGCCTAGGAGTACAAAAAATGCTCCAAGCGGCGAGTATGTAGGACGGAGAATGAGAGCGCTCAATGACTTCAGGACATGTTTAGACGGAGCGAATATCCCGGTAAGGGTAAATGAGGCCTCACTATCGCCCCAGAGAACGCTTTAACGGAAGGAAATTTGAAATGGCTCCTGGAGGGTGCGGTTAGGGAAACCTGGCCCTTGCACATGCTTTGGTGACGATTCTGGGGCTTGCTGTCGAGCTCCCTCTCAGGCTAGGTTACATAATCAGCATGCCACGAAACAGGCCAGGTGTCCAACGGCCGGCTAACAAGCAGACGGGTGGAGGTGACAGGGCAAAAAAAGAAAAAGTTTCTATGTTTCTACAAAGTATTCCCGACGAGACTTGTTCTTCTGCTCGATGAGGCCAAACCAGGGTCTCGTCGCTCACGGCGCGTCTTGGATATCTCGCCCGTGGGAAAGGGGGCGGCTTGAGGGGACGTGACAACGCCGGGCTTCGGCGTATCTATTCTGCCGCCTCCGCGCCGCCTCCCCTGATTGGGTGGCCGATAAGCATTATCGATAGGGGAGGTTTCGCCCGTCGCCGAAGCAGCCAGAAAGCACATCGTTGCCCAGCTGCCATCGCCAACCTTCAGAACAGGCCTGCAATCAACTTTGCCCGTTGTACTCCTTTTAATTCTTTCGCTCTTGTCTTAGTAGCTATATATTCCGTTCGTTTTTAGCGCTCTCTAATTCTTGCTCCTCTTCCCTCGGCCCAGCCCTTTGTCCTGCTCCTTCGAGATGACGTCCGCCGTAGCCACTCTCACCCTAGGATCTTCCGCCATTAGCCCTTCCCTTCCCCCAAACTCGCACCAGACAGATATGCTGGTGTTCCCGGCCTCTTCCCAGGAGGGAGAGCGCGCCACCTCCGCCTCCGTGTCTCCGCCCTTATTACCCGTCTCGGCATCGACATCTGGTCAATCCGAGACTCTGAGTACGCGTCCTACAAGTCAGAATATGGAAAGCCAGGCTGCACCATGTTCTGAAGGCCCTATTTCCAACGCCGGGCTTTCTGCCCTAGCCTCTGCTGCGTCTGCCCCGACATCATATCTCCGGTTAGTAGCAGGAGTCCCTTGCAAGCTCTACCCGGAACTTTACCTGAAACCGAGGTTTCGATATCACACCGCATTAGCGGTTACGCTGCTTTGCGATTTCATTAGCTGACGGTGTCTTTGCGTTCTTTTGCATACCTGCAGAGCCTATGATGCCACTGAGAATGTGTGTAACAACCATAACGCGACCCAGAGCATGAACTACGCCACTTCTTCGCCAAGTGCTACCACCGGCGGTTCGGGAGCGGCTTCGGTAAGTCAATTGACCCTCCAACAGCTTTCTCTCTTCTTTTCCTGTCGCCTTGCCGTCGCCCTCGAGCGCCGCGTGCGAGGACTGTTCCCAACCAATGAGCTTTACCAATTGGGTCTAGCGTGGAACGCAGCCTTTAGCGCGGTGCGTTTTAGCGTTTCAGCCCCAATCTTTTTTTCCCTTATCACTGCCGAATCCCATCACCCGTTCCCTTATCAATTCCAAGACATCCCAAAAGCCAGATATTAACCTGACCTTTCCGAGTCCTATTGCTTTTTGATAATCCCTCCTGTTTTGATTCTATGATGACCATGGCGACTACAATGGCTAACCAGAGTCCGCAATATCAGTCCGTTTGCCAGAACTGTGGCACCTCGAAAACGCCCCTGTGGAGAAGAGATGGCATGGGAGCCGTCCTCTGCAACGCTTGCGGTCTTTTCCTCAAACTCCACGGTCGCCCGCGCCCATTGAACCTGAAAACAGACGTAATCAAGAGCCGTAATAGGGTCAAGACCTCGGGGCAAGGCTCCAAGCGGAAGGTACCTTTGCCTTCTGGGCTGTCACAGTTCTCCTTGTCTATCCAGAAGTAGCTAATTCGGTTTGTTATCAGCAGCCAGCAGTTGACGTAAATGGGACTCCTACCTCCAAAGCCGATGCAATGGCTGCCACCGGAGCATACGGCTTTCCTAGAGCGCGAAAAACATCACCTCGGTCTGACCGCTCGAATTCTCCGCTATCGCGTACCGATACCCCCAACTTCGCTCACAACAATAATATCGCCCCCCAAAACGTGTTCGATGGTGTCGCTTTGTCGGAACATGGTATTAATCCATCCACCGCAGGATTCTCAGCGTTACAACTACAACAGCCATCCCCGGGATCAAGCACGTCGTCCAACGATCGGCATCTAGAGATGGCGCAAACATACGAAGGCTTAGTCGCGGCGAATACCTCGCTAAAAACTCGTGTCAGCGAGCTGGAAGTGATCAATGAGCTGTTTCGTGGGAGGGTAACACAATTAGAACAAAGCGAAGAGGCCTCGAGGAGGTCAGAGCTGAACGTGCGGGACTCTGAACTGCATTTGAGACGCTCTCTGGAAGAGGCTCAGAAGCGGGAGGAAGAGCTGAAACGCAAGATAAGCGAGCTAGAACAAGAGTTGAATGAATACAAACAGAGCGACAACTGCGGGAACCCGGTAGAACCAGAAGCCAAAAAAGCGCGTCTTTCTGACAATACCATCGGACCGCCCGCCAACCCCACCATCGAAGCTTCCTAGCCGCGTAGTCAGCTGGTACGCTTATTAGCTACGGAAAATTCCGCAGAGCGAACAAACCCCTTCTCGACCCACTGTCTCTGTCCCTTCTATTACCCAGATACCCATGTGTTTTTTCTTTTCAAAGCATTGGGCTCGGATATCTATTGTAATGCTAATTTAAGCTATGCTGTATTTTTATCGGATCTTGTTCCTTTTCCACTCTGTTGTCATGGCGTGGTTGGCTATTTGGAGGAGCCCGACTATACATAGGGGTTTAAAAATGCTTTCGTTGCGAATTGAAATCATCACTTGTTTTGAGGACATGATTCCGAGGAGTAAAATAGGTACTGTACATATGTAGGTGTAGGGTTATGATGATACAACAGTACCATATTTGGGTATTTCCTTTTCTACCTATCTGCATTGGGTTGGAAATTGTTTTGCGGAAAGTAGACTATAGAGCTGAAGAGAGTCATTCACTGGCTGAAGCATGATAGCTTTGTGCGCAACGATCAGTATGTGAGGATGAGAATAGACAAAGCGTATCGGGAAGTCCTCTTGAAAGCTATTCCATGATCAGACAGGAATGTGCTGTGTGATGTCAGGAAAATGAAGGTTAATGGTGTACTTGAAGCAATAAGATGTAGTAGAAGCACGCGAGCTCTTAGCAAGTTCGGTGTGAGATGATGAAACGACGAGAGCAACATCATTCAGGTATAAAAGTATTGGTGAACCTCTGTATAGCTAGTAAGTTCTTTCGACTTATTCTGTGCTTGAACAGAGGCCAGTGTATATACTAAATATCAACTGTAACAGATATGCCACTCGAAGGAAAAAAAAAAAAAAATTATTTAACTTGCATGCGCATGATTATTATTTTTCCCGACCAGTTTCGCCATGACCCTCTTTTCATGCCAGATGCCCCATAGAGTAATCAAGGCGCCTGCAATCCCCGCATACGACGTCACCCAATACGCAGTCCGGTAGCATGCCAGCCCTTCCCTACAGTCACGATCGCCGTTTGGTAATATCACAGAGTTTCGGTCATAAATTGATCCATAAATGAGGTTGAATATGTTACCACCAACGACTGCCGCGAGGGTCATGATGCCCCAATTTTGAGAGATGCCGCCAATACCAAACGTATGCGCGACGAGAGAAGGGTAAACTCCAAACAGCATACCGTAGGCGAAGCCCGTCATGCCGGAGACCAGTATGAGATGGTGTGGATTGGAAACTTGGGCACCGGCAAGTTGTCCAGCACAGAAAAATAACGAAGCTGCGAAGACACACCATTGGCGTGACATTTTGAGATGTTTGACAAGAAGGTCGGAGCCGATTCCTAGAGAACGGGTTAGTTCACTCGGTAAAGTCGCCTAGTAGGAAACAAATGGGTTGTATTACCGCTGATAAGACGGCCTATGAAGCTAAGCACGGAAAGGGTTGAAACGTGGATGGCTTGTCTCTTTTGAAGAAATCCGGAGCTGACGCTGTCATCATAATACTTCCAAAGCGCTTTGACCTAGATCAAAGTCAGAAAATGTAAAAGGCATGGTAGTATTGTCAATCTAGGAGCGAATCTCACATCGTTTCCAATATTGCTGCAAAGGCATTAGCACACCATTCAGATAAAATGAGAATAGGGAAAACCAACTTTATTGTCATCAGGCCGATGCCTGTCAGCACCCCAAGCAGGGAAAACAGCTGCCAGAATTCCACGGTTCCTAGGATCCGAAAGCCACGCAAATCTGAATGAAGTGAATCTCCAGTCACACGCGATTTCAGGTTCTCGTCGAAAAGGGGATTCTCAGACGTCGATGATCTGGTAATCAACGATGATGTCTCATCCGCAGTCTCGTGTCGGGGCGGTGCGGGGGATGATACAGGCAAATCAACGGAGGTTGAAGTCCGAGGTGCCTCTACGTCTGCGATTCCGTGATGGTTATCTGTAGACCTGGTTCTATGAAGCTGACTCGACTGAGACGCGTTTGTTGGCTCATAGTCCGAGATGGAGGAGTAGGAGGACGAATGTGGTAGCAATTTCACAAAGAAAGATGAAACAAATATCAACGACGATGTTCCAACTGCGAGGACGAGCAGGAACAGAGACGTGTCATCACGGAAAGCAAATGCAGCTATCGTTGAGAAGAAAAATGCACTCAGTCCGAAGGCGGCGAGTGGGAAGGCTGTAGCAGAGCCTCGATGATTCGGGAAATTGGACGCAGCTGTGTCGGCTGTGTCAGTAGCTGGTGGCCAGATAGAGAAGGGTGTATAGTATACCAGTCTTGATCGACGCTGAAAAGGCAGAGCAGCTTCCTAAGCCGGTGAGGAATGAGAAAAAGCAGAGAAGCGGCACACTCATCGAACCAGCGCCGGAGGCATAGGCTATTCAAATATCAGCACTCTAACCCAACTCTAATGCCCAGGACGCTCAGGGGTTGGTACTGACCTCGATGAATGGGGAAATATCCCAGGAACAAAGCCACAGTACCAATCATAGTACCGGGACGAGGTCCTTTGGAATCAACAAGCAAGCCAATAGCAATACCACTAGCATAGGTTCCCACGTTTGCCGCCGTACCCTACTGGCCATTAGCATACAGGGGGGCATTTGAAGTGAGAGACGCGATGCGCACAATAAGATTACTTTCTGTCGAAGAAAGTTTCATACGTTCCGCAAACTGAGGGGCCCATGCCGAATAGACATACTAGAAGAAGGTCAACCATATGTACACGACATATTTGGCCTGGGGCTTCATAGCTACATTTGTTCCGCTGGCGAGCGCGATTGCAGTCGCCGCTACCACGGTCAGCAACCGCTGAGCTGTTGTTATCGACGGAGACATGGCGAAGGAGGAGTAATTCTAGGTGCAATAAAACACCCTTCTAGCTTCGCGCTGTGCTTAAGACCCATGTGATAACAGTATGATCTATGAATGTCCAGGAAGGCACTCTGAAAGAGTTGATCTAACTATATGTAAAGCCACAGTGTTTGCAGTAGTTCTTTTGTGTAACAGAATAGGTCCTGGCTTGGTCGGCGTATGACCGGCTCGTTCGTCCACGGTATCGATTTATATAGAAGATGCACCTCCTTTGTGGCAAGCGCTAGGAATGACAGCCACGGGATGAATTCGACGACAAGGGCCCCTGTGCACTTCGTGACTCGCGCCGACCCCGGAGACGTTTGATGCCCGGCTTATATAAGCAGAGTGACGTTATTGCCGGCGAAGTCGACGCTGCCAAGCCATGGAAGGCAACCCGCAAACCGCCAACGCCATCACCACCCCGACCGTCGTCCGAGATCTTGGAGGGCGCGATATCCAACCACCAAGACACCATCTATTGCAATCGACACTTTGTTTTGAGTACCCTCTAGAGCGGCGCTCAGTATGGGTGCATTACTATCTCTGCCTTTGATGGCAGTTCCCAGCATGGGGACGGTGAGGACCCGTTCTCAAGCCAAGCTCTCACCGACCGCTTGCTAACTCTTCTTAGGTGGTGGGCTGCCTTGCTTCATGTTGCGGAGCTGCAACGTGCTCTGCCCTATGCAGGGCATGTGGGAAATTCCAGAGCAGGTAGGGGATTTTCTCGTTCTTCACCCCAAGAAGGATAGACTGACCACCTGATAGCATGGCCACGAGAATCGCCTACGCATTTATCCTCCTCATAAACTCCATCCTTTCGTGGATTATGTTAACAAGATGGGCTTTGAACAAACTCGAACACCTTACATTCGACTTCTTGCCTATCAGTTGTGATGGAGAAAAATGCCACGGCTGGGTTGCTGTTCACCGTATCAACTTCGCCCTCGGATTGTTTCACATCATCCTTGCCCTCCTCCTTCTCGGAGTACGCTCTTCCAAAGACCAACGAGCTGGTATACAAAATGGATATTGGGGCCCTAAGATTATTGTTTGGCTGGCGCTCATCGTGCTCTCGTTTTTCATCCCAGAGCCATTCTTCTTTGTCTGGGGTAGTTATTTCGCCTTCGTTGGCGCGATTCTGTTCCTGCTGCTCGGTCTTATTCTCTTGGTGGACCTTGCCCATTCATGGGCGGAATTATGCTTCGAAAAGATCGAAGACAGTGGCTCCCGCATGTGGCAGGTCTTGCTGATTGGTTCGACCTTGGGCATGTACCTCGCCTCGTTCGCCATGACGATCGTTATGTATATATTCTTCGCTCGCAGCGGCTGCGCGATGAACCAAGCAGCAATTACCGTAAGCAGCCCCTACCTTGCATCATTATCCAATACTTACACTACACAGATCAACCTAATCGTTTTTCTGATCATTTCCGTTGTGTCGATACAACCGGCGGTGCAAGCAGCAAACCCTCGCGCCGGCTTAGCGCAGGCGGCAATGGTCACTGTCTACTGCACTTATTTGACTATGTCCGCGGTTTCGATGGAACCGGACGACAAACAGTGCAATCCACTCCTTCGTGCCCGTGGAACCAGAACCGCTTCGATTGTTCTTGGAGCTATTGTTACCATGTTGACTATTGCATATACAACTACGCGTGCTGCAACCCAAGGCATTGCCCTCGGGTCAAGCGGTGCACATGGTGACTATTCTCGTTTAGGTCAGGATGAGATGAACCATGACCTTGTAACTCAGCAGCCCAGCCGTAGCCGCCGCGAAATGCGTGCCGAGGCTCTTCGTGCGGCCGTTGAAAGCGGAAGTCTTCCTGCATCTGCTTTGGATGACAGCGACGACGAATCGGATGATGACGCCGACTCCAAGGATGACGAGCGGGGCTCGACCCAGTACAATTACTCGCTATTCCATATTATCTTTTTGTTGGCCACAATGTGGGTTGCCACTCTGCTCACCCAGCATCTAGATCCCGAGGCCCAGGATGATCTCGCCCCTGTTGGCAGAACCTATTGGGCCAGCTGGGTGAAAATCATTAGCGCCTGGGTATGCTACGCCATTTTTCTGTGGACTCTCATCGCGCCGGTTTTGATGCCGGACAGATTTGATCATTAGAATGGAAATCGCGTGTACCTACTTCGGCTGAATTGGTAGGACTTCGGATGGTTACGACTGTAGTTATTTATTTTGTTTTGGCTGTAATTACATCTTTTATTTTTAGCGTGTTTACTCTGTACATGGTTGCAGTTTTTGAGAATAACACATGAAATGTTCCCTGATGCTATCACAAATATGATCTACATTTTTTGACATTGCTTATGGTATCTAAATAAGTTGTCTGTTGACTTGTGGTGCGTGTCCCATGCCTTTGTACGCCGTGCACTGAAGTTCTCCCATGTCCCGTGACGTCACAGCCGGATTGGAAGGCCATTAACTCGTGTAACTAAACGCGCACGCGTCGATTGTGGTTAGTACAGGGTACATAAACCGGCACTAGCCACGAGGCGCAGAAAGAAACCTCGAATGTCTAACACAGCATAGCAACCCGTCCATGGCCATGGGATGAATATGGCCACTATCAAGGCCATTGAGGCCCGTTCGGTTTGTTGCCACACCTCGCGTTCTCCTCTATTCCAACTTGACTCACGCGGTCCTAGATACACCAAATCCAATCCGGACAGGTAATCGTTGACCTATGCTCAGTGGTTAAAGAGCTCGTGGAGAATAGCCTCGATGCTGGCGCAACGTCAATTGGTATGGGTAGCCGATTGACAGACTTTGTTATGGGACTTGCTCTAACTGAGATTTACACACGTCTGATAAGATATCCGATTCAAAAACAATGGTTTGGACCTCATCGAAGTTCAGGACAATGGACACGGCATTCCGCCCAATAACTACGAAGGCGTTGGTAATGCTATAAGACCCAGTTGCCTTTTCGTAGTCAAGTGACTGATTCTTCGCAGCTTTGAAACATCATACTTCCAAGCTCTCCACGTTCGAAGATTTATCATCCCTTCAAACCTTTGGGTTTCGCGGCGAGGCTCTCTCGTCGCTTTGCGCGCTTTCCGACTTCCATATTGTTACCGCTCAGGCAAATCAAGCGCCCAAAGCTACACGCTTAGATTTTGAGGTTTCTGGCAAACTGAAAAACACTCAAGTAGTGGCTGGTCAAAGGGGCACCGTTGCCTCCGTCGAGGGTCTCTTCCAACGGCTCCCTGTTCGGCGACGAGAGTTGGAGAAAAATATTAAGAGGGAATATGGCAAAGTTCTAGGCCTTTTACATGCCTATGCATGCATCAGCACTGGAGTTCGTTTCAACGTTAAGAACCAGATGCCCAAAGGGAAAAGCGTGGTGGTATTCGCGACGAAGTCAAACCCCACGACAAAGGAAAATATTTCAAATGTGTATGGAGCAAAAACATTGCTTGCTCTGATACCGCTAGATTTGGAATTGGAATTCGAGCCTAGCGCGGAATCAAAGACCTCGCGCAGACAACAAGATGGGCAGGTGAATAAGATATTCGTGCATGGTTATATATCCAAGCCCGTGTTCGGCGAAGGGAGACAAACTCCCGATCGCCAAATGTTCTTCGTGAACTCTCGCCCATGTGGCTTGCCGCAGATTGCGAGGGCTTTTAATGAAGTCTACAGGTCGTTTAATATCTCCCAGTCACCGTTTATATTTGCCAATTTTGAGATGAACACTAATGCTTACGATGTTAATGTCTCGCCGGACAAACGCACGATATTGTTGCATGATGCTGGTGCTCTTATCGAATCTTTAAAGGCATCGTTGACGAAATTGTTTGAAGGTCAGGACCAAACTGTGCCTCAGTCCCAGCTCGCGGTGCCAAGGCAAAGTACGATGAAGCAGTTGGTAAATAAGAATGCTCCTTCTATTGCAGCTGCGCCGAGCAATTCATCGCCAACGACCCAACGTTCAGAAGAGGCTATTGGAGTAGACAAGGAAGTTCAGGAATCTGACCACGAGTTCGATAAGCAGCGAACGTCGCTAAGTGCCTCCCCTGAGCCCGCACCGCAGGGGACTGGAGGTACCTGCTCTTCAACCCAAACATCCGTGAATGTCAGCGAACTATCTGCGCCCCCCTCTACCTCACAGACCCAAGCCCAGGAGCCCGATAGATCAAGTCAGGTATCTCCTCTTCCTGGTCAGGAGAGGAACTTGATATCCGGCCACAGCACCCCCCAAAGCTCACCTAACATGATTAAGTCGGCGTTCGACAGAATGCGTCCTACAAGGCCACCGGCAGAGATTGCGACCATTACAGTTGGGGGCAAAACGACTACATCCACCATCGGATATGCTTCCGCACATAAACGCAAAGCCGGCCAAGAAGGGCATGTAACAGCAGCACCGTCGACAAAGCGTCAGATGCGAGGTACCACGTCAAGCAAGCTAGGACAATCTTTAAGTTCCTTTGCTGCTCCAGGCACCCAGATTGAAGATCACCAGCAAGAAGGGGAAGAAGGAGGGCCCAGTGAAGCAAAAGAGGACAAGCACGAGGAGGAAGAACCATTGGCCAAATTGACACACAGCAAATTTGAAGCAAGTGATTATGAAGAGCAAGTTGAATCTAGTGACGATGATCACGCCCCAGAAGAGGATATCGAAGAGGAGGACGGCTCAACATCATATTCAGATGAAAGTTATATTGACGATCAAGAAAAAAAAGCAAGGGACGAGCAAAAAGTGGCTGAATTGATTCAAGCTGCGGAAGAGACGGCTAATGTCCCCTCAGAAAACAATGTCGAGCGAGCGCACAAAATGTCTAAGCGGTCCCGCGGAAGGGATTCAACCGTTGAGTTAATGTGCTCAGTAGACGGTTCACTTGCAAAAATCGAGGCACAACTGAAATTACTCAAAGAAAATCTCGAGTCCCTGAAGCATTACAAAGCTTCAGAGGAACCTATTTCCGAAGAAGCTTCAGAGCAGCAGGATTCAGCGGAAACAAGGCTATCTCTAACAGTCTCAAAAGAGGATTTTGCTAAGATGCGGGTTGTTGGACAATTTAACCTCGGGTTTATCTTAGCTATCAGGCCCGGAACTGATAGCACCGACTTCCAAGATAATCCGACAAAAGACGAACTATTTATAATTGACCAACACGCCTCCGATGAGAAGTATAACTTTGAACGGCTACAAGCTGAGACCGTGGTTCAAAACCAGCGCCTCGTCAGACCTAAAACGCTCGATCTCACCGCCGTTGAGGAAGAAGTTATCATCGATAATATTCCAACCTTGGAAAAGAACGGCTTCATCGTCGATATCGACACGAGCGGTGACGAGCCTATTGGACGAAGATGTAAACTAATCAGCCTTCCTCTGAGCAAAGAGGTTGTGTTCAACACACGAGATTTGGAAGAATTAATTGTTTTACTATCCGAGTCGCCACAGCACCACCGTGCGTCCCAAGACGATGGTGATGTTGATCCCGCATCGTCATCGTCGCAGTTTACAAATCTCTACGTCCCACGGCCTGGCAAGGTGCGCAAGATGTTTGCCATGCGCGCATGTCGATCCAGTATAATGATTGGAAAATCCCTCACTGTTAAACAAATGGAGAGGGTTGTTCGGCACATGGGAATGATTGATAAACCGTGGAATTGCCCACATGGTAGGCCGACGATGAGACACTTGATGAGCTTGGGTCGGTGGAATGGGTGGGAGGAGTGGCCTGAGATTGAAATTACCGATGATGAAGAAGGATATTATGATGAGAGCGAAGGCTGGAGTGCCTGTGAACAGGGAAGCGGGGTTTGGAAGCGGTTCCTAGAGGACTATGGTACTATAGATGATTAAAATTTTGGATGCGCATGGTTGGCTTTTTGAATAATCGAAGCGTTCTTTGGATATGTACTTTATAGATCAATTTGATTAGATTTCACGACTATATTTTCGATCATTAGCCCGTAGATGAACATGGGCCTTATTCGCCGGGCCCTTGGTTCGAATACCAAAAGATATCAAAACCAACGCCTCAACCGGCTCGGCTTCGGGCCATCCTGCTGTGCCGGCATCTTCCCATTCTTCATATCTTCCTCATCCGCCAACCTCAAGGTCTCCTCGACAATCAGAAGATCCCGCTCCAGCAGCTCCGCCCAGTTCTGCAAATCTCCGACTTCCTTCAGGCCCTGACGGCCTTGATCGGCGAGCTTCTCCAGCTCATTGCCCTGCTTGGCAAGCTGCTTCGTCGTCCTTTTCAGCTCGGCTTCTTGTTTCTGGATGATGGATGCATTTTCATGGAGGGTTGTGGCACGGGAACGGAGGTCGGCATCAAGGTTGGACCCGACGGATTTGAGGGAGGCAAGGAAGGCAGTCCGCGCTTCCGAAGTGGGGTCCGGGGAGTGTGGAGGATGGGTAGTGGAGTCGGCGGCCATGATACCTTTTGAACTTGGCTGGGTTTGGTCCAAAGAATTCGCTTCGCCCGCAGGTGCTGGGTACGGAAAGAATCGAGGCTCCTCGTTCTCAGGAAACTTTGACGGTGCAGTTATGATCTTAAAAGGCTGGGGTATGTACAGCAGAACACAGCTAGGCAGGATGTAGGCAAGGTGCTGGGAGTCTCGGTCCGATTTGAGTTCGTGTTGAGACTGATAATATCAGGCCGAAAATCCGGGGCAGAAAAGGCGAGAAGAGCAGGCAAAGCTCTCTTCCAAAAAGCAACCCCACTTTCCACGTCACCGGAGACCACTCGTGAGCTATGGGCTATGCACGTCATGGTGCGTGCCTATGAATCGGCTATTTTCGCGATCTACTCTGCATTGCAGAGTGGTTTATGGAGTTATTCGATCACTTCGGCTTCTCGGGTGCCCGGTTCCCAGGGGCCAAAAGGATAAGCCGTTGGCCCCCAGAAGTGGCAATCCGTAGGCTGAGCTTTGTGAGGATACTTCCTCTACTTCGTAGATCTCGCCATGCACCAAAGCTTGCTAGCTCTTTTTCCCTGCGATAGGCCAGCGACCAGGGCCCGTGGAAACGTGTCGCCAGTGGTTAGAGTTCGCGGGGAAAGACAAGCCACTTATTGGTATCGACTAGGTCCTACTCCGGAGCCGGGGCTTCCATAGAGGATAAGGCAATGTTGCACATACTGCAAAGGGCCAGCCGCCCAATTCTCGAACCTAAGAGACTTATTTAGTTACAGGGTCTTGTTGCTGGAGATTGGAGCTCAACTTTGTGCAGAGTG